TGCCACTTCTGATCCAGGATAATCAACAGCTCGGGGCTTCCGATGGGAATGTCACAGCTCTTTTCAGAAAATGAAACTGTTCCAGGCTGCCCTCATTTTTGCCAGGAGGAGACATCAACACCACCTGCAGTCCCCTTTCTTGTCTTAACCTCATTTCTCATTTATTTATTATTATTTCTCATTTATTGCACATGCGAATGCTTCTGTTCAACTACTGTGGCCAGTCCCTGCCACAGCACATCCTAGAGACTGCAGGTGCTCAGGAACAGGAGAAGTTTAGGGTGGCCCATCTCCAAGGTTCCTCTCACCCTGGCATTAGGAGTTAGGATTCTGGAGTGTTCCGTCATGAGCAGCTAACTCTCCATCACTTCCCTTTCAGGCCTCACTGCTCTGGGCAATACCTAGAGACCACATCCAGGCAGGTCATCCCCATCCGAGCATTTGGACCATTCGCATTCTGAAAAACCAAGGAGAAGTGTCATCTGCCTATTATAAAGCAGGATATCATACAGTGGCTCAATTTTTGCTTAGCCATTCAACAACAGCAACATTGTTTTGTAACGGAAATACCTTGCCCTGTTAGATGTAGAGCAAAATACAGCAGAAACATGGCATGGTCCCCGGGGAGAAAGGAGAGGCCACAGATGTTCATTAAGCACATGCTATGGGCCAGGCCTGTGCACTGTCTTGTTTCATCTTCACAACCACTCTGCATGTTACCATTTCGTGAAGGACAAACCTCACACTCAAAGAAGTAAAGTTATCTCTAAGGGAGAAGAAACACGGGTGAAGAGAACACATCATGAAGTGCCAAACCAGGCGGTCCCTTCCAGAAATGCAACAAAAGCTGCAAAGAGAGCAAGAGGAACAAAAGCTGGAGTAGGTGGTGAGGGGAAGCACACAAGAGGCTCTGAGAGGTGGGAGAGAATATTCTATAAAAGAATCCGAGTGAAGGGAGGCAGGGATGAACACATGTTCCCCAGAACCAGGGAGAGTGTTGACCTCATGAAAGGCGTAGGGTGGGGCGGGAGGAAGCCAGCAGGCTCCAAAGTCCACACTGCAGACTGTGCTAAAATTGGAAGTTGGCCCAATGTGTGTATATGTCTGAGTTATTTGGAGGAGTCAGAGAAGAAAGCAGGGTGACTCACATGGACATACAGTAGCACTGTCCTTCTGCCTCGTGGGTGGGGCCCTTAAACTAGCCAGAGGACCCTTCTAGGCTCACTGTGGCAATTAATACATAAATGTAGTACATTTGTCAGCACATAAATGTAGAGGTAAACACTACTTCCAAGAAATATTAGTAACATGACTGCCCACAATGTGGGTAGCTGGGCGCCTTAGTATTCTGGATGCACGACAGGGAGTGTATCCACAATGGCCACAAGACATCAAACACACCTCATTACTTTTGGGAGGTTTTCCTTATTTCTAACTTTCTTTAGGACACCGCAATTACTTCAAATATGTCTATGTTCTATTCCAATACTGCCCACATACTGTTCTACTTATTCACCTGTCTTTATGAAGCTTTTAGGAAAAGTGGGAAAGAAGCAAAGTGAACTTAGGGAGAATATAAGGCAGAAATGCTTTTTTAAAAGTTTTCGTTTTCAATATTGAATCAATTCGAGAAGAATTCAATCTACGAGGTCAAAACTAGGTCACATACCCTGACTTCCTTGCACCCACAGCTTAATAATCTAAAAATAAAAATCAATTCTTGTCTGAGAGTTGTGAAGAGCTCATAATTGCTTTAGAGTGAAGCTCAGAACGACTGTGCCTTCTCCCGCCTTCCATTGCTGTTGAGATGAGAATATCATTTTTCAAGTCCAAGGCACTGTCAGTATTAGATTGCATGGTAACCAAGTAGAAAAATCTCTGTTTAAGATGAAATAATTTTCATCATTATACTGTTCAGGCAGGAATGAGACCCCTTCTTTAATGCTACTATAAAGATGGCAGAGAAGTAATATGAACCAATTGTTAGTTAGAAATATCTTCCCTCTTAAAAAAAAATCACTGGTTTACAATCTTTTTTCGTCCTGCTGTCATGCCAGTATTCTGAATCAAGAACTTGTTTTGATTTTTGCAGAAAACTAGTTGCCCCCTTTCCAGCTACTGAATTTTCTTTCTCTTTAATCTCAAGATCCAGATGTGCTTAGAGTCTCATTATAACAAAGATTTTAACCGTGATCCTGGCTGGATTGAATTTTGAGTTCGTTTGCTTTATTTGACTTTGTGCCACTAAATAGAACCTTGGACTTCTAGAAGGCTAATGGATTTTCCATCATAGCAACATGCCCGTTTGCATACATAGATATTTGTAATAGGGACAGCTTTCCATTTTTATTAGCATCTTCCTATAGAAGTATTTAGCTTTCCAACCATCCACAGTTTTTAAAAACCAACTCCCAGAGTTTTCATTAAATTTTAAAGTACCTATCAAGAATCTTTTAACTGTAAAGATCGCCTATAAGATGGGAATGAAAGAGTCCATTAAAATATCATTATAGGAAGAGAAATTCTCTGCCACTTTTTCTTAATTCAACCTAACGGGAATGCAACTCCCCTCTCTCTCTCCCTGGTTATATCCAGTCAGGGTTCCATATTAAAATTAGGGCTTGTAGAGGGTGTCAGTGGAGACACAGCCATGGTGTCCCAGTCCTCAGGCTCTGTCTCAGGTACATACATGCTGTGGCTGCTGCTCCTGATTTTTGCCACCCACTCCTGCATCATCCCTCCTCCACCCTCCACCATCCTAACAAAACGGGCTCCACTGCCTTGGAGGAGCAGAGCACTCAGCCTGAGTCTCCCAAATTTTATTTTCAATCAACATCTAGACACTTCCACAACCTGATTTCTTTTAGACCAAACCAACTTTCTTATAAGCCCCACGCCTGTTCTGTGAGGCCAGCTAATTAGCCTGCCTATTCCAGAAGTACTCGCTTTTTATTACCTTTAGAAAACAAAGCCAGGTTTGAGGAAGTGTTGGATGGAAGCTGTCTCCAAAACCTCAGGAAGGGAACCCCCACCTTCCAAACCCCCCTCCTTCTTTCCAGTAAGATTTGTAGTCTGGTTAGAAGGACCATTTAGATGATGAAAGGAACCAGTGGACAGCCTCTGATTTATAACCAGTGTGATTTTTTTAATATCCACCAAATTAATATTTTTATGTCTGTTCCCCCATCAAGTTGCTTCGGTTTGAATTTCAACGAGGGGAGCCTGCCAAGATCATAAATCCCAGCAGGGGTGGGAGAACGTAAGACAGATTTCTAACACCTTAAAAAAAAAAAAAACATTTAAATAAAAAGGGCAGGAATTTGCTTTAAAGTACACCAGGCCCAGCAGGGACTGGGAGAGACACAGGCCCCCTCTGAGCATGGGAGAGGCTCTGCCTTCCCAATATCACTTTTCTGAGGAACCCAACGCACAGAAAACCACTCTGGCAGGTAAATCAGGCCCTGTGGGCTTTTCATCAAAAGCCAGTGATGCCTCTCTGGGATGTGTGTTGGAGGGAAGGCAGAAATCTCTCAAATGAGCACCTTCCAAGAAGTCGAGTCTTTCTGCATCCCTCTCTCTGGAGTGACCACTCACACAGCTCATCAAAGTCTCCTTTCATTAGTGCCAGGCCAAGGGAAATAAATGCAGCTGGCAAGACAGAGTTTGAAGCTGTAAGAAGAAAGCCATGTGTTTCCTTCCTAAGACTAAAATCATTTCCCTACAAGGAATAAAGAGCTTTTACAAACCTTCTGGATGGATATGTCTTGGAGGGGAACAAGTTGATTGCTCTCACACCCTCGCTGTGCTCCAGCGGGAGAAACAGAAGCCCTTATTTGCTGGGCTTTATAACAAGTTTACTATATTTGAGCGTGCATGGCAAAGTAAACACCCTTATAACCTAGCTTATTATTACACCGATTCGGATAAGCCACAGGTCAAACCATGTCGGCTGAAACATAACTGCTACCTACCCACAGGAGAAGTCTGATATAACTCAGTCGATAGCCTATAAAACCGACGCTAGTCCTGTCTGTCAACACCAGCATTATAAAGGCGTTCCACTAATCCTCCTCAGTGGACAACACTAAATCCTCAAGCAATGTCGTCTTCTCATTCCGTACCTTGCCTGTCTCCGGGTCTCGGGACATGCCATGTGATCACAGGAGCTCCTTGCTGCTATAGTGAGTGGCACCTCCAGTATCGTGATGACTCCAGGAACTGAGTTCCACTGAAGCACATTTACAGACCAAATTACCCTTTCTCACAACACTTCGCCCAAGCACTCGCTCTGGGTTCAGAGCCAAAGCCATCACCAAGCCTTTCAGGAACCTTGCGAGCCAGTGGGCAAATAGAAAGATGCATCGGACCAAATGGATATTTAAGAGAATTGCGCTGAATTGAAATGCACCAGGAACCCAGAATCTGGTTTTAGTTTTTGTTTCAAAGATGCCAAGGTTTTGAATTTGCCAGTTGTGGACATTTAATTATAACTATAGAAGGGGAAGTATCAAAGCAAAGATAGACATAGATACAGTGTGTACATAGTTTTAAAACTAATGTTTAGGTTTTTAGTTGAACAGCCTAAAACTTCAGCACACTCCACTCTCACACAAGTCTCCAGAAATGAGGCACAAGTCTCACCCCATCCCAAAGTAAGTGAAAAAAAATTATTTTTTAAATTTTTTATTTATTTGCTAGACGGGACATCAGTAGGACAATTACTGAAATCTGAAAAAGGTCTGTAAGTTAGATAATAATACTATAGCAATGTTAATTTCTTGGATTTGAAAACCGCACTGCAGTTGTGTAGATGGATTTAGGAAGTATATACTGAAGTATTTAGGGATAAAGGGGCGGAATGTTTACAACTTATTGCCAAACCGTTCGGAAAAGAAGTAACACGTACACATGCACACACACAAAGCAACACAGCAAAGTACTACCATTTGAGGAATCTGATGATGGGTTGAAGGGTATACGGGAATTCTTGTCACTATTTTTGAAACATTTATGTGGATGTAAAATTATTTCAAAATAAAAAGGTAGCTTGTTTTGTAAAAGCTTCTTATTTAGGCCTCCAGAGTTACTGTTGCTTATTTAAAATAACAGCCTAACAGAGTGTATTTATAGGTTCCTTTGCTAGGGTATCCGCATCAATGTAAAAAGGATCTGATGTAGGCCCCTTCTGTGGAGGTAGGTCCCGCTTTAGATGTCACTTAGAACCCATAATCTTGAAGAAACACAGCGTAGGGGAGCCAGGGACAAGACTGATGAAACATGAGTTGCTACCGTCAAGTGAATGTCCAGAGAAGAGGGATTCTGGAAGCACAGGGCCTGGATTCTCTAGGCCTGTAGAGTTCCACACCGTGGGATGTTTAGGTCTGTAGCATCTTAGAGTGAGGGGCACAGAGGCAGGGCTGTGTTGAGGATCAATGTGGCACATTTTGTAGTACACTGCCTGGCGCCCACCAAGGGTTCCAGCAGTGGTTCCTAGTCTCCACCCTGACCCCTCTCCCAACTTCAAGTTTTCTCATCTGGAGCAATGGTCTGGCACCCTGGGGCATGTGCTAGGGGCTAAAGTCAGCCCCCTGTTTTCAGAGTGTCTGCAAAAGCCCACGGGAAAGGCTGCACTTGGACAGCTGGATGGGGCCTTCTTTTCCACTTAAGACAAGCCTTTCCCCGTGCATCTTTCTTTGGTAATGGAAACATCCCAACCACAGTCCTTCCTGCTAATCAAATCCCATTTGGGCTGAAGGCCTGCTGACATTCATTAGCCCAGACCTGCTTTTCAGAGATTTCCACTCACTTTGAGCTAAACATGTGGGCCCCAGCCCTGAGCTGAAATCAAGATTGCGCTTTCTTCTTTCTCTTTCGACCAGAAACGCCATTCTGCTGCCATTGGAAATTGATGCACCTAAGTACAAAGTGTCTGTTCCGTGCATCCTCCAAACAAAATGTGGCCTGGGTTCAAGACCAGCATGCACCAGCATGCACACACACACACACACACACACACACACACACACACACACATTCTCAGGCCATAAAAGTCAACCACACCGCTGAATATCTAAAACCCACCACTCAGCAAACACAGTCTCCTTTCTGGAACTTTTGGCGATGTGGACAACATCCTGTCATTGAGCATGTGTATAGCTTGAACTGGCAATAAATTGAGGCGCTAATCCTGATGCACGACAGCACCTGCAGTAACAGAGAAGAACGTCTCAGCAGACGACACATATATAAATCACATTTATTTTCATAGCACATTTAAATAACGTTTTGGCCCTGGGGATTTTCTGCCAAGTAATGAAGCATCACCCAATGAGAGTCTGCAACGTTGCTCCAATCTGCAGTGCCCCTCACAGCACAGGAATAAAACCTGTGATTTATATGGATGTCATCGGGGTAGCATAGGGGGCTTCCTTTCCCTTGCACGAGACATTGCTGTGCATCCGGATTAGAGAGGAGATTTATCTGCAAAATAAACAAAGAACAGGCCCCCCCATTTTCTCCCTTAATAATGCCAGATGAGACATCAAACACACACACACACACACACACACACACACGTACCCACTCAGCAGCACACACATAACAGCCACGCATGCACATAACACAGACAGGCTTGTTACGAGATAGAAAAGAAAACGATTCTGATAAAAGATGACCATTTGTACCTTGATGGTTTGGTTTATCAGCAGTTCCTTGCAGGAGGCCTCCAGCTCCTGGCCTCCGCCGTCCCTCCCCGGGGTGCTCCGTCTACATCAGGGCGGACGCCAGCCTTGACTGCCTGAGGCCCAGCACACACAGGGTGGAGAGAAATCAAATCTCCTCCACACATTGTAAGGTGGTAGTGCAATCCCAATTCACCTGCCACTTCCTATCTTGTTGTTTCAAGGGAAAATATGACCTCATTCTAACAAGATTTTCCTTTGGATGGCCATACGGGCGGTTGGCCCAGCTCACTCAGGCTGAATAGAATGAATTGCAAATTGTTCTGTTGAAATCATTATGAGTCCTTGCTCAGTCTTCCTTCCTTCCTTCCTTCCTTCCTTCTCTCTTCTCTCTCTCTTTCTTTCTTTCTTTCTTTCTTTCTTTCTTTCTTTCTTTCTTTCTTTCTTTCTTTTCTTTCTTTCTTCTCTCTCTTTTTTTCTTTCTCTCTTTCTTTCTTCCTCCCCCTTCCTTCCCCTTCCCTCCCCTTACCTTCTCCTCTTTCTTTCCCTCCCCATCTTCTTCTTTCCCCCCTTCCTTAGCAGCCATTTATGCTCTAGAGCTCACTAGGCCTCCCTATGTCTCAACTTGAGGCCACCATCTACCCTGCTAAATGTAGGTTGCTTTCGACAGAGAAAAATGTACCCTGCAACTCAGTGGGGCACGATTTATCATACACGGATTTGGATATGCTACAGTTCAATTTATGCCTGCCCCAAAATGTCCACTTCATCCAGAAAACACTGAAACAAGAATAAGAACTCAGATTGTTATGGTGTTTTACAGTTAGCAAAACCTGTCCCTGTACTGCATATTGTCATACTTGGTCCTCAACAAACCTGTGCCGTGGTAGGGCAGACACAGGGCACATGCTAAGATGTAGTCCTTGCACTTGTTGAGGTCACCTCTGCTTCAAGGACCGAAGGCATAGTATTTTACTTTTTTTGCCTCAGGTTCACATGTTTCAGGATCACTGTAGAAACCCAAAGCAGAAAATCTCATGCTTTAATATGGAAAACCATTCCTTGGCTAGCAGGGGGGTTGGGTGGGGGGGCTACTGGGTGGCAGTGGCCTCCCTCGGGGCAGGGATACCAAGCAGGCAGTTTCATTTGAACAGACTTGGAGTTGAGGTCAGGATCTCTGGATGCCACCTGGATATTCCTAAATGAAAGTTATTTCCCAGAAAAACACAGTCTTGTATTTACCAATACACATTCTTTCCATTTCCAAGCCGAAGGGTGAACTTTCCATTTGCTCAAATCCGACTCTTGTAAAATGGAGAGAGACTCTCATGTGACTTGTGTGAAGTTTCCTGCGCGTATTTTGGTCCAGGTCACAAGTAGGGAGGAAAGAAATGCCGGCCCAAATTTCTCATATTGTGCAGATTTTATGTCAAAAGGACTCCCAAGCAATTGCACATGTCTGGATGTAAATATATTCTTTGCTTCCCATTTTCATTTCTCAAATTTGTTCTGAAGTTGCACAATAGCCATCCATATAGCAAGGGGAAATTTTTAATTTACAAAGATGATTGCCCTAAATTAACATTAAAAAAAAAGAAAAGCAATCAGGAAAAGCAGCATTGCTTAGCAAGGCTAATCCAGGACTGTGGAGAGGGTCAGCTTGTCCCTAAAAATAGGGCGACCACCTGTCGCAGTTTGCCTACAGCAGCTCTGACATATGCTATTGTCCTGGCTTAATTATTAATAGCCTGCCTTTCACACTCATAATTGTCCCAGTTTGGATGCTGAATTATATAGTCACCCTACCTAAGAGCTGTAGGAAAATCCAGTTGAACTAGGTCTTATTCTTTCAAGGGCTTGAAAACAACCTGAACAGACACACAGACAAAACAACAGACACACCACCCTCCCTGCCGGACCACACACAGGGAAGCCCCACCATGCACCCCTTTGGTGGATGAGCCTGGCTTTTGTGGAAGCAATGGTGGTGTTCTTCAATTCTTGGGATTTGGTCTTCCTTAGGCCAAGCAGGGCTGTGCCTTTTCACTCCTGGTGGCAACTGATGCCCTGTTTAAGGCATAGGTCTTTTGTCTACCCTCATTATAAGTACCCCAGTGGCAGATGCAGAACCAGCATCCCCCAGTCCCAAAGTCAGGGAATCCAAAGTGTGTCACTTCGGCCAGTTCTACTTTGTCCTCCAAGCCTCAGCTCAGGTCCCAGATTTTGCAGGAAGCCTTCTCTGGTAGTTCCCCTCCTTTGTCTGTGTCCTCCACCTTGGGCTGTCCACATGATAAGCACACAGGGAGTTTAAAGTGATCCTTTATATCCTGCCAGTCACATCTCTGCAATTGCACTTGACACCCTCCGTGGCAACCGTTTACTCCTCCACCTTCCCTTGTACAGTCTTAGCTTGCTTAGGTCAGGGACAATGTTCTCTGTCTGGACTTCCCTGGCCCAGCCTGGCACTTGGTCCTCGTTTGTGGAATGCATGTATGGGCAGGATGAGAGCCCACTTGAAAACAAAAGTAAGTAGTGTAGTGATAAGCACATCTTTATTAAGTATAAATATAATATATTTGTTTATGTATAATTAGGCATAATATATTTATTATTATATTTTATAATCCAAATTTTTTAATTGTGGTAAAAAAATACATAACATAAAATTTACCATCTTAGCTATTTTTAAGTGTGCGGCTGATTAGGGTTAAGTACATTCACATTGTTGTACAACCGATCTCTAGAACTTTTTCATCTTGCAAAACTGAATGGCATGGTATGTTTTCGGTGTTTTGGAAGCATTATGTCATTTAGGTCTCATAGATCCCAAGGGAGGGATAATTAATAGTCCCATTTTGAGCCAAGAAGTTAAGCAACCAGCTCAAGGTCATGCAGCTAATGATTGGTAGAGATAAGATTTGAAACTCATGCATCTTTATTAAATTCTGCCTACCAGTTTTACATCAAGTAACATTTCCATAAAATTGCAGACATATAGAAATTACAGATTTTTGTTTCACCTTCTGCCTGATTTTTATTTTAAAAATAGTCTTTAAAAGTTTTTACTGAAAAATAGTATGAGAAACACCCAGGGACTTTTTTTTATTAAGTTCATGATCCAGATCTAAGAAAAATGAGACAGATTTACTGTAAGACAGCCGCTGGTGATGATTCATAGAATTTTAGCAAAGAAAGGCACCTGGGAGGTCATCGCACCCACCCCCATTATTTTACAGGTGTGGAAACTAAGGCTCAGCGTCAGGACGGAAGTCAAGGCAGCATCAAGTTCAGAACACAGAACTCTTACCACTCCCTGATGCTGGCTGGCAGACATTTTGGGTTGAACGTTTATGATGTTTTTCTTCTGGTTAATATGTATGCTAACAGCATTTTACATTAAATTCAAGGCCTCTGTTAGCCATCCCAGCCGAGGGCCACGCTCCAACCCCTCCCAGGACGAAGCTCACCTCCTTACCTGTCTCTCCCCAAATCGGAGGTCCCTTATGCTTTGGTCTACAGACCCCTTCCCACTACAGATATTGCGTAACGCCTCTCTATTCTTTCCAGAAAGGAAATTCAGGGATAATCTACCTGAACACAAAATTTCAACAATGACAACAAAATCAACATAATGCCACATCTGTAATAGAAAGGAAAAATGAAAGCAATGTGTGATAAAATGTATATATTTCAACAAGCAAACGTTCTAGCTGACTACGGAGGCATGGTGCCGTGGTCGGTGCTCACTCCTCCACACAGACCTCCATGGAGGCCACAGCTAAGAGTGTGGGCCTGTAGACGTGCTGTGTGGGCGACTCAAACACCATGGGCAGCATTTGTCCCATACGGGAGAAAAACTCTTAGTCGAACTATGAACACAATGAAGTACAATCTTCTCTTGATTTGTATGGTGGAAAATGCACCAAACACTGAAAAAAGGAGTGCCAAAAGCTAAGAAATATATATATATGTGTATATGTATATATATATATTTGTTAACCTCTCTGTTTAATTATAAAATAAGCTCAGGAACTAGGTTTATATAATTACAGACAGGTGTTCCACTTATTGGTGACTGTCTGATGGGACATTTGATAGCTGTGCAGAAGCAGGACAATCTTTGGCTGTGCATGTTGTGTTAGGCATTGTGGGAGCCCAAAGGAACACTGGCCTCTGTCCATCAGATATTTTCGTTACCCCCTCCATTTTTGTGATCATCAAAAATATCAGTCCGCATTTTCGAAACGCCATAGGGTTGATAAAAACACCCCTCTGAGAACCTGAGCTCTAGACTCCAAGCTCCTTCAGGGCAGGGACCTCTCTTAGCATTTGCAGCGCTGGTGCACCCATGCTTGATGAATGGACAAAGACGGAACTAATGACAAGAAGACATCGTACACATAATTAAACTACACCAAAAGCTGCTTATAAAACACTTCCACAGACCAGGATTTTAGTCCTTGCACCCAACCCTAGTTTGGCCTGGGAATGTGGTCAAACTCATCCAGTCTCTCATTGTTCTCATGTTTGTATAATAATAAATATTTTTATATTTATAAATAAAGAGAGGCATTAATTTCTTTATTTCATGAAAAATATACACATACATGGATATATATTCAAACAATGCTACACAAAACCTGAAAACAGTACATAGTAAGTATTACCTAAGCTATCTGTATATTAAGCTATATACAACCTCTATCTATACACTGAAAAATTTGGTTGCAAATTTAGTGATGGAAAGGAAGTTATTGTCTTTAGGAAGGATGGAAAGGAGTTATTGTCTTTAAGAATTTTTTAAAACTTAAAGCTATATACAGGATAATTTGTCTCTACTGCAAAGAATAAATATGGGTACTACTGTTTGTCTTTTCTGCCTTATAGAATCGTGAACCAGAATCTGAAAGATTTTTTTAATCCATAAATTCAATAATCAATAATAATGACTAAAAGCAGGTGTTGAATTTTAAATGGATTAAATCCTCAGAAGGACTCTGCAATAAAGCCTCTTTCCCTATTTTCTTTTTGGAGACAGGATCTCACTCTGTCCCCCAGGCTGGAGAGCAGTGGCGTCTTCATAACTCACTGAAACCTCAAACTCTTGCACTCAAGCCATCCTCCTGCCTCGGCCTCCCGAAGTGCTAGGATTACAGGCGGGAGCCACCATGCCCAGCTCTTATCCCCGTTGTACAGATGAGCAAACAGAGGCAAACAGAGAAGTTAGTGATAAAGTTGTAACTCCAACCCCAACTTTCTGATCACAAAGCCGGTTCTCTCAGCCACTACTTTGTCCTCCCATCTGGCTAAAATGAGGAACCTAATGCCTCTAATTCAGCCTACTTTCCAAAACAAGTTAGCAGCCCCAGAATCACAGTGTTATGGGAAACTGCCCCCAAATGCAGGGCTTCTTTACCATTTTTTAGTTTTGTCATCATGGAAGCAGGAGATATTGGCAGAGCTGTCCCTGGTCATTCTCCTCTGTCCTTCATTTGACGGCTATTTGCTAGCACCCCCAGTGCACGTGAACCATTGTGACAACGTTGACACAGCGCCTGCCCTTGTGGGGCTCACAGGCCAGAAGAAGGAGCAGACATTACTTATATAATCACGTAAAAATACATAACCAGACACCATGGGATGGTTTCAGGATGCCATGAGGTTACACGCAGGGGCCTGGCTTTACCTGGAGTTTTTACGATGTGAATCATTCTCCCTTTAATGAAAGTCAAGTACCATTTACAGGGCAGCTGCAACACGCCAGCCCCTCTGCCAGCCATATCCCATACACCTTCTCCGATCCTGTAATGTGGGCATGGGGCACGCCCAGTTTTCCGAGGGAGAGAAACTGAGGCTGCCTGCCAGAGGTGAGGAGACCTGCCCACGGTTGGCAGTGGCCGAGCCAGGTTTTCAAGGAGGTCCTGCCAAGCTCCCAAACCCCCGTCTCCTCTCTCCCCTGCGCTCCCGCGTCATACCGCAAGGAGCCCCACTAGCACCGGTGGCTGTTCTCAGGAAACCAGGACAGAGAATGTGAGCGCCACGCCGCCGTTCCCCTGAGACTCTGCGGTGGGCGTCAGCTGCTCGCCCCCAACCCGCCCTCCGTGGGCTGCTGGGCTGCTCGCGCCCCTCTCCGGCCTGAGCCCTGCGGAGCGCCCCTGGGCTCCTGGGGTGAAGCTCCTCCGCTCCGCACAGCCCGCTGGGGACCCCCTGCCGGCGGGCCCCGCCGCTGCACACCCTGCAGGGCAGAAGCTCTGCGCGCTGCTCGGCCGCGCGGCTGCGGCTGCGGTGAGGCCCCGCCCCCTCCCCGGCCCCGCCCACTCCCGCCCGCCAAGGTCACGTCCTCCTTGACGCGGAGGCCTCGGCTGCTTCCTGCATCCTTGCAGCCTCGTCCCTTCGCCTCCCGCTCCAGCCCAGCACCCATCCCTCAGGTTGGGGATGCGGGTCGCCGGCGTGTCCCCCTCCCTGGCTGGCAGCTCCTGAAGGCCGCAGACTTCCACCTGTGCCAGGACCTAGCGCAGTATCTCGCGCACAGAGCCACCCAGTAAATACTTTGACTGAATTAAATTGACTTAAATTGGCTAAATTAAAACAGAATCACATGCACTTTCATTGCCATAGAATGGGCAATGATAAGGAAGAGGAAGAGACTCTTCTTTCTTCATAACATTTTACAATTTTGGCTGCAACGTTTAGAGTTAAGCCAGATGCATCAAATACTAAGAAGCTAAAATTCTCCATAGTATTTATTACCCTTTCACCATCTTCACTTGCCAAATATGTGTAATTTAACTAGTTTCCTTTTCCTAGAAATATGAATGTCCTTAGTGGAATAAATGTCAACACTTCTTTAAAATAAAAATCATTGCCTTTTGAAATGTTTTAATTTTATCCCCAACTTCATTCTCTTTTTATAGACTGGTTCTGTATGTCTTTTATTTAAATGAGTGGGTCTCAAGAAAAAAAAAATAAAGAATGGCTCAATTATTACCTATGATAATGAATCTCTGAAATTAAAAACTGTCCTCTGTCCCACTGATTTACAAAGAATGTCTTAATGGGTAAAAAGAACTGCCTAATAATATGCTTTATGAATTTTTTTCTTGAAAGCCAATAATTTTTGGAGGTGAAAGGGCTTCTTTCAAGATAATGATTGGTTTCAGTTTCTAAATCTTATACCAGAGTTAATGCACAAATTATTTGGACATTGTGGTGGTAACCCATTTGAAAGGGGGCCTGAAAGAAAGGAGTCCCAGCTTCCTGCGCCCCCCACTCCTCCTCTAAATAAGCCTGGCCCCCAAAGTCCCAGACTCATAAATAAATCAAGAATTATGCTAATGACCAGAGCGGGACGCAATTACAGGCTTTGACAATTCCACACATCAGACACGAGGGGGCACTACAGGACCACGTTTCATGATTTCAGGCGCCATTTTACCCTTGGAGCTGGACAATAATTTCTTGAAAAAACTGTTAACCTTCTGTGCTCCGGATGTCGTTTTAGTCATTGCTCTCAGTGTCTTATCGCCACTAAGCTTAACTAGCCGGGCTTGGAAGGTCATTTTAAAGGACAGTGATGTAAAAGAGACACAATTAGGCTTCCTCTTCGGTTCACCTTCGTGTAGGATGGTGTGTGTGTGTGTGTGTGTGTGTGTGTGTGTGTGTGTGTGTGTGTGTGTGTGTTTTATTGTTAGCAAACATTTACAATTGAAGAAACCATTCTGGGAACCCAAAAACCAAAATGCAGGGGTTTTCCTCCAAAAAAAAATCTTTATGTTTCAGGCAGGAGGATTGTTTTCATTGTTATTACATGTGCAACTGTCTTCATTCATCTATTCATTCAACCAGCAAATATTTACTGATGCCCTTAATGTGCCACTCTCTATGCCAGGCCCCGGCACTCTATGATACCTTAGCCACCTCCCCTCCCAACTCCCCAGGATCTTACCCATGGTGAGAAGGCAGCTCTTTTCATTCCCCTGAGCCAGATTTAGTCTTAAAGCACCTCAACATCTATAATAGAAAAGTGATACTTCCATTTAGATCACTTCTCTTTTCACTGCTCTCCAGGAATATATATTTTTCAAAAAGAAAATAGTAAAACCACTGCTTTCTAGATGAGACAGTCTCAATCTGAGCAAGAAGGGTTAAAACTCAAGGGACTGCATGCTAAATGACTGAATTTTTATAAATCAAATAAAATGAATGTGGGCTTGGGGGATTTTTTTTCCCCTTTCAAAGTCCCATGTTGATTAGAATGATCTACATTGAAATTTAGCAAGAGCCCGATGAAAGTGCCACCAATCTTGGCATCTAACACAGCATGTTATCTGGACTTACCTGGGAAGGGCTGGCACCCAGGGCTGGTCAAAATGGGACACAGGAAGTCTGCTTCCTCCCTATCTCCCTCACCTAGTCCCAGTGATTTGTGCAAGTATGTGAGAATCAACATTTTACATCCATTGTGTCATTTAATGCTCACAGTGACCCCCACAACATATTCCCATTTCCCAACTGGGCAAACTGAGTCTCGAAGAGGTTAATTCCTTGCCCAAGGTCATACAACTACTATCCAAACCCAAGTCTGTCTACCTCCAAAGATCATGTGTCCTCTACTATTCAATGTAAACCTCCCAAACAAAGAACCCAAAGACTGGAAATGAACAAGTATCAACTGACTCACTTCCATGTTCCCTTTGAAGATAGGTGGGGCAGACACTGCTGTGTGCCTGCACGAACCTATCCCATCTTCTCCCTGAGCATGCAGCTGGACTACATTTCCCAGCTTCCCTTGCAGGACAGTGTGGCAGTGTGAGTGGCTTCCAGCCTGTGCACACCCCACTTCCCGGCCTGCCTGCCTCCCACACAGTCCTTCACTCTCCCTCTCTGCTTGCTGTCTCACCCAGATGCAGAGGACCCAGCAGCAAACACTGAGGCCCCCTGGGACAGTGGAGCCACAGAATGAAAGATGCTTGGGCCCCTAAATCACTGCATAGAAGGTGCCCACCAAACAGATGTTGAATGGTTAGGAGCAAGACGTAACTTTTTGTTGTTGTTGTTAAGTCACTATGACTTGGGGTGGTTTGTTAAACAGTTAGCCTCCCACAAATATTGATAATTCATAAGGAAAGATGACGGCACCTCATGAAGGTTTCCATTTGCTCAACCAAGGGCCCTTAGGCCTTGCCTAGCTCTGTGGTAGTGGACTTGTTCTCAGTGTTCCTGGGTACCAGGAGTGGTGAACCAGAGATCTCTAAGGTCTTCCCCTGATCTGAGAAAATTCTGTAATTCTGTAGTGACCCTCACTGGCTGCAGCCTCTTTACCAGCCCTCCCCCATACATACATCCTTACAGGTAGCAGCCAAGTTGCATGGCCCAGGAGGGACTTAGCCCAAACGCTTACCTCCTCCCGGCCCCAGCCCCCCAGGATTTTCCTTTTCCCATAATACTTTTCCTCCACTTTCCTCCACTCTGCTGAGCAGCTACAAAAGATACGCCCTCTCTCACCCATGGCCGCACTATGTAAGATGTACCATCAGGAGGATAGGTGGCTTCAAATGGCTCTGTCCTGGCATGCCACAACCTCCCCCTGCCCCCTTTGCCTTCTGCTTGGGAACAGAAGCATTTTCTACCAAGAGTAGGGCTGAATATATAGACCAGACCTTGAAAACTTTTGGGTATCAGAAAAATACATACGAGGGATTCCATTCTCCAAAAGCACTGATTCTTCAAATAATGTCACTGCCATCTACAAAACATTATATTCAAGATATTTTAAGTCTATCTTCAGAGGTTCTTGTGATCTCATTTTCTGTCATTAAGTATGATGTGCTCAAAAAGAAGATAATTTTAATACAGAGAAAAACAGAACTGAGCATTTCAATGACACAGACTGCTGGCCCAATCAGGACGGGAGCGTGTTGTCTGCAGCATTTGTGTCTTGCTGGGTCCCCTTTGCTGAAGTTCATTTCGCCCCCTACCGGGCTGCCACAGCACTTTCGGAGAAAACAAGTGCTGTGAATGTTTACGAATGACACAAATGACTTCCGTCACTGCCAGACCCGGCTTTATGCGTTTTGCATGTGAGCCTCTGCCACACCCGCTGCCCTCACGTTGCCGGTGGCAGGAGGTTGTTGAGTTGGCTACTAGTGGTGTTTCTAGGAAAAACAATAAGGATTGAGACCTGGGATCTTGAGAATTGTGACAAACAGGGAATGCAGATGTAAAATCCAGGACTCCGCTGCATACGGTGCAGTATTTGGCTCTCTGAAGGTGGGGAGAGGGGGGGCGGGTATGGGAGAGTCGGGGGCACAGCAGATGCTGTTGATATTAAAGTAAATCTGATTAACGGTTACAGTGGACACAGTTTGGGGCTGCCCACTGTCTCCCCTTCTTGCCCTCCTTCTTCTGTAACAGATTCCTGCCTCTCTGATCACAGGAGGAGGAGTTGTGGGGGTCTAGTGAGGCTTGACCACTCAGAATGCCCCTCCTCCATCAGAGTCTTTGGCCAGCTAAAGTCCATGCCTGGGCAGTTTCTGCTGAACCTTGTCTCCCTTACTTCCAGCCTTCTGGGTTATTTTTGTGTCCTCTGTAAACTTAAGAATTCCGACTACTAAAGCTATTAGCAGGACCCACGATACATATTGTTCTAATGCACTAGCACCTGACTCAACCTAAATTACAAATTACCATAATTACCAAGGGTAAAACCCAAGGTTAATGATGAAACAAATTAATGCATAGTTAAAAAATACAAAAGTGTTCTATAACTCCTATAAGATGAAATAAGGTTAATTAAAGTAATTTTCAAAATATTAACGGAATCATAGTTCCAGCAAGCGTAGGACTATTATCAGCACATTTGCATCATTAAGAAATTTGAACAATTTATAGATTCATAGATAGAACACTTGTATTTGTGAAGGTCAGAAAAAGGATAAACTATTTAGCTTTATTTTTGTAAGCCTCTCTTGTTTTCTACATACTATGGCACTATTATATATAAGATTTAAACTGCTCCAAGTACTATTTGTAGATTTCTATTTAAGAAAGAAGCTATCTTGCTTATAGGAAAAATAATTGATTAAGTTTAACCATTCACAAATGGACAGTTATTTGTAGGTACTTAAACATAAAGATCTATTGGAGCATGGTAATTTGTCATTTTTAGTGCTTATTTGACTCCCTATAAGAGTACAATTGAGTTCAAAATAATGATGTTTCTGTAGTGCTACTGCTACTTTGATTGATAATGAGAAGATACCACTACCATTTTTAATTTTTAAAATGCAAGATTATTCTGGAGTAAATTAACCTAATCACACAGTGCAAGTAAATTAACATCTGTTCATTACCTAATTGCAAAAATAATATTAACCTACAGAGTCTAAATCCACTTCTGACACATATTCAATTTTTATAATGTAACATTGACCATTTTTCTGGATTATATGTAGGGGTTTCCAGCATTAGCTTCTCTGCTCGTTGGAAATGTTAGGAGTGAGAACACAAATATTCCAGTGGCGTTGAAGAAGGTTGCTTCCAGAATTGATCCAGCTATATTACAATTCGGACACTATTAAAATACCAGTGGGTATTTTTCATGGCAAGGCTGCTATAAACTCACCCAGTGAGAACTTCTCAGGGCTTTCGCTCACCTGGCATAAGTGAGTTTTTTCCAAAGCAGCCCAGCAGCTCTCACTTGGAGAACTCAAGTTTTCCAGCCCTCATTTCCCCAGTCTGGCCTGAGCGAGGCACACAGTGGCCGTACTGTCTGGGCAGCACCTTGTGGGCTGGTGCCTGTGTTTTCCCGAAACGAGAGTAAACGTGTTTCACACAGACCAGAGGAGGGGCCCTGAACTCACAAAATGTCTCCTCGGCCTTCGCGCTTTCCAAGTTGGGAAATTTATGTTGCAACCTTGAGAAGGACAGAGTAAACGCAGAGCCTGCCAGCTGTTTGTTTTCCTGTTGATGAAATCCCCAAATTCAGACTGGAAGCCTTCCAAGGACTGAAGTCTCCTCAAAAGGCAAAGTGTTAACCCTGAATCCTTCAGGTCCTGTACGTCTTTCTCTCCCACCTGGAAAGTTCCAGAATATCTCGGGGCTTGTGCTTGCTGTGTGTGTAGCTCTCTGACCACTGCTCATCCTCAGGCCGCAAAATAGGCCAGGGCCAAAGACAACGGAGGAAGAGACCAAATGACTCCGTGGTACGGGGAACTTTCGAGAGCTTTTTGGAGCCAGGCTTCCTAGAGCCCAGCTCCTACGTGTTTAGTAAAGCTGCTTAGGTCACGGAAGTGATTCAACTATTTAGAGTCTAATTTCCTAGCTTTAAATATTCGCCACATGCTCTACTGCCATTGTGGTTTTATCTTCAAAGTGTACGTCCTTAATCTTCTCCTTGGACATGTGACAAATTAACACTACATTTATTTGTTGGTTGCTTTTTCCTGAACATGAGCCATACAGTTTATAGACCAGTCTAGTAAAATGACCACTTTAAACCTCCTAATTACTCCTTATTTTTAGTGTGTATTTTCACTGGCCGCTTTTACACTTTTTAAATTTTTAAATATAATCCTTTTTGTCTGATTATAAAATTGCTACATTTTCTTTATAGGAAACATGACGAATGGGTATTACATTTAAATTTTTTTATTTCTAATCTCATTACCCACCATTAAGGTTTGTTAACATTTTGGTATGTTTCTTTCTTTCTCTGTTAGTCGTATTATCTCAATGCTGATTTTTTTTTTCATTTGATCTTGTATCATAAATATTTTCTCAATTTTTATTTATTGTCAATAAATAATCTTTAACAATTGAGGTTTTTAATGATTCTGATAGTATTCCATCACTGGACTATTCCTTAATGTTTGTAACTAATCTCCTGTTATTGGATATTATAAACAGTACTCCAGTAAACATATATCTGTGTATACCTTTGGCCACATAGCTCATTAATAGGATAGATTCCTAGAAGTAGAATTACTGGGTCAAAGTGTAGAAACAGTGTTAAGGCTCTTAATACACTTTGCTAAATTGCTTTTTCCAAAGGATGCTGATCAATTTGTGCTCCTACCACAGTGAGTGAGATACTTGCGGTGTTCTTGTGCACAAGGAGGATTGCTGTTTTCCCTCTTGGCCTGCCTGATAGACATCTCCACTGGTGGTGTGGCCCAGGGTTGGCGAGAGCTTAGACAGGCAGTCAGGAGACCTGGGCCTGAATTTGGACTCTTCCATTATGTAGCCCTGTGACTTCGTGGAAAACTCTAGCAACAAGAATAAAAATTGGGAACAGTATTGACTGCCCAAATAAAATAATGAATGTGAAAATGCTTTGTAAGCATAAACTGTGAGGCTGTCTTATTACTGAAAGGCACCTACCCATTGCTACTGGCACCTCAATTTCGGTACTAAAATTAGGAACTGGGCATGTAACTTATAAAGAAAAACCACAATTTTATGGAAATATGAATTTGGGGTTTCATTTTTTAAAATAAGAAAATGGTGAATTTCTTATTAGCACGCTCTTTGGCTTCTCCCTCTGAGCTCACCAAAACAAAATCACACAGTACCTGAATCCCAGGCGAGCCTGCCTAACTTGAATGGGTGAAATAAAGTTGGGTATTCCCTTGGATCAAGCAGGCTAAACCAATAGCTAACACTTTCACAGAGGGCAGATCCAGGTGCAATTGGCATTTAGATGGAGCTAGCATAAACTTAAGAAATGTCTCCATTTTAACCTGTCATAGCGAAATGCCCAACCTTCGCTCCAATCAGGCCACTCCGTTCCTGCCATTCCAACATGCCATACTCAATCTGCCTTCTTTCCAGCCTCTCCCCATCCATCTGCACCTGCGCTTCCTCTAAGCTGTCCCCAGACCCTTCCTTCTCCCAGAGTCTTCCTGGGCTACTCCAGAGTGAGAGCCGGACTTCCCAAGGACTCTTACCTGTGAATTCCCAGGCTCGCTCTGAGTTACTGCTGCCCTGTACGGTGTAGATATTTCTTCCCCATCTAAGCTGTAAATGTTTGGAGAGAGAGATTCGTCCTTTGCTATCTGAAACTCTGTGTGTACTTTTGGCCTGAAATTAACTTGCCCCTGAGGTTGATAAACAAAGAAAGTTTTACCCAGGGCCAAGGAGTCATTTTCCCAGTAACTCTCACTGGGGAAACTTTCTCTAGACTTTGTCCCTCTTGGCATGAGGGGAATGGAGGGCAGGTCAGTGCCTCCAGCGACATTTCTTCTGGGGACTCTTTTTCCCTCATTAATTGTGCTGACAGGATTAAGAATAGCTCACAACACAGCAGCAAAGGCTAAAGTGGAGTTTTGTTCTTTCCTCCTTTTTATTCTCACCCTAATCCCCCTGGATCACCCTCTATCCCTCTTGCTGAATATATTTATATCTCCCTTCTGATTAAATGTTACTGGTTTTTTTTAAAAAAACGAAATGAAAGAAGAGGCTGCATCTTGACATAATCATTATGGATCCTAAAAAAAACTATTAGTCTATGGTCAGGCACAGTGGCTCACACCTATAATCCCAGCACTTTGGGAGGCCAAGGAAGGAGGATCACTTGAGGTCAGGAGTTCAAGACCAACCTGGGCAACACAGCAAGATCCCATCTGTATGGAAGGAAGGAAGGAAGGAAGGAAGGAAGGAAGGAAGGAAGGAAGGAAGGAAGGAAGGAAGGAAGGGAATTAGTCATGAGGAAAATAGTGTCTTATTCACATTTTAGAGATGAAACCTGTTTATGTTTTAGTGACAATTCTAGACATGTTCCAATTTCCAGATGCTTACTTGAGGCAAGTGTGTTTGCAAGAAACAGAAACCCCAGCTTGAGCAAGAGTGAGACCCTATCTCTACTAAAAATAGAAAAATTAACCATCCAGGAGGATCACTTGAGCCCAGGAGTTCATGATTGCAGTGAGCTATGGTGACACCACTGCTCTCTAGCCAGAGTGACAGAGCTGGACTCTCTCTCAAAAAAAAAAAAAAAAAAAAAAAAAAAGAAGAAGAAGAAAGAAAGAAAGAAAAAGGGACTTATTCAAATTACTCAAATCAAAGGATAGAGTTTAAGGGGGCTATATCAATCTTTCCAGCACACTAACCATGAAATCTTTTGTGATTTATCAAAGGGAATCCTGGTTTTAAAAGTGCTCAGAAGGACTGCACTAGACTAATAAATTTCCACAACAATAGAGAGATAGAAATCTTTGCTTCTTCTCTTCAGGCAACTGGTAAGGTTCAGAGACAGTTTCTAGTTTTTGAGAGCTGCAGGAGAAAGTTGGTGAAGTCTGGTTCCCCCTCCAATGGAATACAAAGACCATAACACGTATGTCTACAACTGGGCCATCAGGCCCTGGGCGATGACCCAAAACAACTTTCCTCAGACTTTACAACACAGTTACAAAAAGAGCATTTGGCAACTTTCCTGAGAAGAGGTTCTGAGAAAGAGCTCAGCAACCCAGCCAAATATAATCTCCTCCCAAAATTAGGTCAAAATTGTCGGCAGTAGCTGAGGACTTAAGGGGCAAAGTCAGAGCACTGAACAATCAACTTGTAAACAAACTCATTATTGGCCTCCTTCAGAAATCATTCCGTGGGATTTATCTGCCCTATTGGCCAGCTTGTCTTAAGGACATATATTAGGGGGAAAAGTTGAAATCTAAGTTTGTACCACTAAAGAAAATCCTTCCATGATCCAGAACTTTCAACTACTCCTTTCTTTCCATGCCATTTCACATTTCATTTCCATCTTAGCTTCTCTCTAACTTTAGAATCATCTCATAGCTACTTTTAAAAAGCTAGCAGGTGAGGCCCCCAGCGCTGGGCTCCTGGCAGGGTTGGGAATGGCCTAGCTTTGCTCTGGCCCCCAGACTCAGTCATGCCAGCCCCGCCCTTCCTCCAGTCTTCTCTGCTTCCACAAGCACGGTCAAGATAAGGCTGAGCCCATCACCCATGTCGCTAGTAGTCAACAAGGGATGAGGTAGTCGTCTACCAAGATTGAGTTCCAGTGATGAAATAAATGCCACTTCTGACTTTAACCTTCTGTGATAGTCCAGGGGTTGAGCTAACAGGGTATGTTCTTCTCTTGCTCTTCTCCACAGCTGCTGAACCTGAAGAAACAAAAGACACCTGAAGTACAGACGTCCCCCCGACCGTCAGAAATTCTCTTTCTGCTAGAACCAAATGGGATGAACCGTGTGAAAGGGCATTGAAAATGATAAGGTACTAAGGAAATGTGAGACGGCAAAAGAAATATTATAAAGGGGTATCGTGTCACCTATTTGAGGCAGAAGTTGAATAAATACTGTCGTTAATATTTTGAATTCAATGTTCAAAATAGAGATTCCAAATCAAACTAAAATCCGTCTATGGAGGAGGCGAAAGTGCTCTCCAAATGGGGCCATGCCCTCACTGGCATGTCCAGACTCTGCTTCAGTTAGGCTGGGGGTCGTGTGACCACCTCTGGCCAAATGACTAGAAAGGCTGATGGACTGTGTATCACTTGGGTCCGGAGTACTTAGGAGCAGAGACTGGTTTCCCCACACTCACCCCCCTCCTCTTCAGTAATCCTGGAAACCACATGTTGGGCTAGAAGGAACCTGGATCCCTGAGTCACCAGGTGGAAGATGCATCCCACCAACTGGAATGCAAAACTTAGCAAGAGGGCTAAGCCACAGAGATTTCAGTGTGTACTTAATACCATACCATAATGAAACGTATCTTTTAAAATGCATTGACTTTTCCTTTTTAACTACATTTCTTCAGGAATTTTGTGTTCTTCAGAGATGCTCATGACAAAATGTATGATTGTAAATGGTGTAGCTCTTGTATGATGTCTATACCATCAATGATCTAGGTATTAAAGACAAAAAGCCAATCCCAAATCAGAGAATACTTTATACAGTGAATAACATCTAACCTAATGATTCAGTGGGTTAAAACAGCTGACTGTGGACTCAAAGGCCTCATTCTGACCCACTCATTTATTCTTTCTGAGACCCTAAGTAATTTAATCTCTTCTCTCTGCTTTGGTTTTAAGAAGCAGAGAAGGACCTGCCTCAGAGGGTTTTGGTGTGCAATAAAAATAACTATAAAGCACTTTTCCGGCACAAAGTGCTGCATAAATGCTTAATGATTTCCTTTAATGATATCATGGACAGGGGCACTGTACTTTTAAGTGAAATATTTTCATTTGAGTTATAGCATGTAATACTCTAGATGTCAAGGCCTGATGGATGGTGAAGTAAGGATCTTTTGTTTTTTTCTAGAGTCCAGATAATTTAATCATTTCCCCTTTATCTCCAAAAATTACATGTAACTAAACATATGCAGGACTTGGATCTCACAGAAAAGGCTAATGATGGTCTATATAAAGAGAGGGGACTTCGTCGGATGCCATGAATGGTACAGTCTTAAGGTCATCAGTTTTGTTCATGAATTCTGCTTGGGAGAAAAACCACTCAGTTGTCTTTTTTTTTTTTTTTTAACTTACTGTAATTTAGAAAATCATAGCCTTATATTATACTGAGCCCAAATCACAGTTCCAAGGGACAGGAATTTACTTTCTAATGGAGGTGTGGGCATTTTGTTCTCTAGAGCAGGAAAAAGAACATTTGGTCAAATCCATCCATCCATTATGAAGAAGCCCATTTTTCTCTGTAATTACTGTGAGCAAAGAGCAAGAAGGGAAAAGGCAGGGATGATTCTTTGGAGAAAATATTCAACTTTTTTTGTTGTTCCAAAAATGTAGTTATGGAACCCCTTTACTATTTTCTCTGCGTGTCCTAAAATAAATGACTCGAAAAGCTCTACCCTACTGGTCAATTTCTACCTCTGAGTTATTACAACTCTCAAATGCCAGATGTGGCCTCTCCCCTTCCCACTCACCCTGTTGTAACAGCCACTACTTACTGAATGCTTGCTTTGTGCCAGATTTTGCGATTAACATCGTCTCAGATAGTCCATACAACAGTCCTGTAGGGTAAGAATTTTTCATCCCATTTATCAGATGAGGAAAGGATGCTCAGTGAAGTTAAGTAATTTACCCCAAGTCATTCGGCTAGTAAAAAGTAGATGCTGCACCGGGCATTTTGGGTCACGCCTGTAATCCTAGGGCTCTGGGAGGCCAGGGTGGGAGTATTGCTTGAGGCCAGGAGTTAGAGACCAGTACAAGCAATAGCAAAACCATGTCTCTACAAAAAATAGAAAAATTAGCCAGGCTGGTGGTGCACACCTGTAGTCCTAGCTATTCGGGAGGCTGAGGGGGGAGCATTGCTTTGGCCCAGGAGTCTGAGCTTGCAGTGAGCTATAGTGACACCATTGCACTCCAGCCTGGGAGACAGAAGGAGACTCTGTCTAAAAAAAAAAAAAAAAAAAAAAGTAAATCCAGATTCAAACTCGTCTAGCTGGTCCCCCAGTCTGGGCTATTAACTCCTTCACTAATATATACCTTTTTCCATAGCCTCGCCCCCACATTGTGGAGGAAGGGAATGAGGAAGAAGGAGGAGGGAAGGGGAGGTAATAGGAGGGATGGGGAGGGAATCAAAGTGAATGATGCTTTTTTTCTTAGAAAGAAAGAATGTCCAGAGCTGGAAACAACCCTGCAGATTTCCCACCACCTCAGCACTTTTTAGAAAAGGAAACAGATTGTTCAGACAAGTAAAATGGCTGTCACGACATCACATATGTCACGACACAATATGCTGGGGCCAGAACCAGGGTGCAGGATTTCCAACTCCCAGGTAAACTCCTCCCATCGTAGCACCTCCCACCCTACCCCATCCCTAGTCTTAAAAATTAACTTACATAAGTGAATTTACCTCTTACTAATACAAATAAGTAAATAATTGATTATTGCTTTGATGACCTAGAATAGCAGTCTGTATGGATGACAAGGCCAACTTTTAAATTTGTTCATTGCTCATTCGACTAACATTTTAGAGCATCTACCATGACCAGGGATCTGTGTTAGGGGTCAGCAGACAGCATAAAAATGGTCTGGTTGGGTCCCTTCCTGCGCTGAGCAGTTTCCAACCAATCAAATTTGGTTTGACTCTTTT